TTGGAACAACTTGAGAGTAAGTAAATTATCAACTGTTCCTTTAAAAATATGACAATTAAAAAACAAAACAAAACATTTTTTGCTGTACAACAAAGAAAAGCACAGATGAACGTATATATTATCAGTCATTTATTTATAAATACATTTATAAAGCATGGTTCCAAACAAATCAATGCAGTTCAAAGTGCTTTACAGGAAAGAACAAATGACTGACACTATAGGTTTAAAAAGAATAATAAATACTTCACCAGTGTTCTGTTTCATCTTTCATGATTATGCTGACCTCTGATATGAGAATGTCGTCATGTTCATTGGCCTTCACTTTTGGCTTTACTTTCTTATCACAGTGTGCGTGATAATATGCAAAGTGTTAATGTCACACGTCTCATATGCTGCACAATCAGAACCGGGTTTTCAGAAAAGACTCTATTGTTTTAATACCTTTCTTCCATCCTTTTGGCACAGGCCAAAATACTAACAAACTGTTGTAAAGGAGGTTTTACACTGAGGTCAAAGAAACTCCAATATTATATTATGCCCCACTCTTGGTTCCATGAGAGCAGAGATGTGTTTGTGTTAGTTACCCTCTGTAAGACAATGAGTTTGTCTCAGTATGGGGTCTTGGCTCTTCTCTGTCAGGATGTTTCTTTCCCCTCTTCCTCAGAACAATGCACGTCAAATTGCCAATGGCCCTGGGAATCCATCCTGGAAGACAAATTCTCCGCTGTTCCTATAAGCCACAATTCTTAACACATATTCTTGTGCATACATTTTTGAGTGTTTTAGATGGATAAATCGTCAGAACTCCTAGGGACCTCGACAGACTAATGACCCAACCAAGCTTATTTTAGGTTTGCATTTTTATTTTAATATCATTTTCAAATTTCCTATAACTTTCAGTTTACTAGTTTTAGTTAGTTGCATTAATGGTTTTGTTAGTTGAAGTTTAGTTTTTAGTTTTTGAACACATTTCTATTTAGTTTTTTATATATTTAGTTTCAGTGTTAGTTTTAGTAATTCTAGTTACGCAGAGTTAACAGAACACTTCCAGTTAAAGACATTTCATTTCAGCAAAGTTTAATGTTTGCAGTTTCAGTTAACTCTTGTGCAAATCTCTTAAAGGGTTAGTTCACCCAAAAATGAAAATTATGTCATTAATGACTCACCCTCATGTCGTCCCAAGCCCGTAAGACCTCCGTTCATCTTCGGAACACAGTTTAAGATATTTTAGATTTAGTCCGAGACCTTTCTGTCCCTCCATTGAAATTGTACGGTATACTGTCCTTGTCCAGAAAGGAAATAAAGACATCATCAAAGTAGTCCATGTGACATCAGTGGGTTAGTTAGAATGTTTTGAAGCACCGGAAATACATTTTGGTCCAAAAATAACAAAAACTACGACTTTATTCAGCATTGTATTGTCTTCCGGTTCTGTTGTCAATCCGCGTTCACGAGTCCGCAGTGACGCTGCTGACGTAAGACGCTGCTGACGTGTATCTGGTGCATCCGTGTATTCGGGTTCAAATAAATATGGCTGCATGGGCAAAAAAATGCAAGTCTTCCTCTGTGTCGAAATCCTTAAACATGTTTGCGAAGATTGTTTTGTTTACATCGTGCGTCTCCCTCAGACTGTATACGAAGCTCGGGCGCACCAGATTGAGTGAGCATCTTATGTCTTACGTCAGCAGCGGCACTGAACGCGGATTGACAACAGAACCGGAAGAGAATACAATGCTGAATAAAGTCGTAGTTTTTGTTATTTTTGGACCAAAATGTATTTCCGATGCTTCAAAACATTCTAACTAACCCACTGATGTCACATGGACTACTTTGAAGATGTCTTTATTTCCTTTCTGGACAAGGACAGTATACCGTACATACATTTTCAATGGAGGGACAGAAAGCTCTCGGACTAAATCTAAAATATCTTAAACTGTGTTCTTAGGGGCTTGGGATGACATGAGGGTGAGTCATTAATGACATAATTTTCATTTTTGGGTGAACTAACCCTTTAATAATAAAAATAAAATAATTGTTTGAGATTAAACAAAGAACCGAAGAAATGCAACTTAAAAGTAAAAATTAGTCATTACTCATTCATATTTAAGATGAAATCTTGTTAAACGTGGCGTATAAGAAAAAAGATGCCTATGATTATTATGATTATTCATTTATGGTTATTTATGATTAATCCTTTCATACATTATTCTTGTATTAATCCATTAATGATTTTTGTCTATTGCATCTTTTAATATCATATAGGCCTAGTTTTACTCATATTCATGTATTCTATTCAGATCAGACATTTAGTTTACTTCTACTCTGACAAATATGTCCATTTGTGGGCTATACATGCTATTTTTCTTTTTCTGCTCAGTATGGTATCTTGTCTAATATGTGTGGTATTTCGTTTAGTTTCACAAGAGATGGTTATCTTTCTTTAAATTAAGGTACAGCTCTATTTGCATAAGGTCTAGACATGATGGAAATACTTCTTTGGCCATTTCTGCTTCTTAGGAATGGTTCACACAGAAAGCGGTTTTGGTTTGAAAAGGTGCAAGGTCTCGAGACGCATCTTTTATAAGGTGAACTTATTTTAACTCGAGTGCCGCGTTTTTAGAACGTCGTTTCATGCATGAGACGGTGCAAAAGACGCGAGACTCGAGCGCAAGGGTCATACAATGGGTGCTTCTCAATATCCCTCCTCGTCTCCTCGCTCCTCCGTCCTCCATCTTATGACCCGGAAACCGATCGAGCGCAGCCATCTTGAAGAACATCTCAATTATCTAATTGCACCGTGAGGAGGCTTCCAGAGGAGTTATGAGTGAGGATGCACAGTTATATCCTATGTGGAAGTGTTTTATCAACTAAACGTGACACACAATTCTTCTCCCCTTTCACATTGGTCACAATAATTTTAATTTATACTTTACCTTTGCAGTTTATATAAACCACACATCACATATTTCAACAGGGTATCTTGCTTTATTATTATTTATTATGAATTTCTTAAATAACCAAACTTCAACAACATAAGGGCAGATCCTTTGAGCGCTGCTGATGACGCTGTGAAGTGACGCACGAGTGATCAATTCCAATGCATAAAAAAGCTTCCTCCGTCTTCCTTTTCTTTCCTTGCAGCCTTCCCTCGCTTCCTACCGGGGGTGGAGCTGAGACATGAGGAAAGAAAGTGAGGAAAGGAAACGAGGATGCACAAATAAGAATTGAGAAGCACCCAATGAAAAATAAAGTAGCGCAGTGGATTGGAAAAACAGCTAGCCTACAGGATGAGAGAAAATTATGAAAACGATTATTTATTTTTGCTAATTATTACTTTATTTCAGTTCGTTTTTCAGTAACTGTTGTTAGTTTCGGTTAGTTTTAGTTTTTCAATTATGTTGAACTTTTTATTTCAGTTTACGAAAATGTTCTTTTTTTTAGTCATTAGTCTTAGTTTTCGTTTACGAAAATAACATTGGAACCAACACACCAAAAAACAAAAGCAACTTTAATTGGCAAGAATTAAATAATTAATTTCCCTTTGTCAAGTTATCAGGGGGATTATGTGGTTTTATAACAGAAGAAAATCATGTACTATCCAGTGGGATTTGTCCAAATTAATGTTCAATTTTAACAAGATTAAATGTTGGCAAGTAACAAACTCAAAGCCCATGGGGGGTGTAGAAAAACACAGTAATAAGGGCAAGTATCAAGCTGGGAAATAACAGTAAAGTTCATTCCACTCATGGCAGGGGTTATTTCCTCTGAAATCACCTTGTCCCCGCTCAAAGATCCACTCTAGTAGTCAGCTGAATCATATCTAAAATCAAATTCAAGATATTTTGCGTTAACAGCTTTTATGGCAGCCTGGTGATTATATTATATAAGCACTGTCTGAAAAACAATGGAAAATATTTTGTGCATGCACTGTTAAAAATTATATGATCAATAAGTTATGACACCATGTTTTTACATTGCTTAAACTCATCAAAATAAGCGAAGCGATTTTCAACTTTTTTTATGTTATACAAGATTCAGCTCATTTTTAAAAGTCAGTTTAATGTAATTTAAGTTGAAAGGACTTAAACATCCAAGTTGATTGTACTCAAAAAATTAAAGCAGCAAATGTTTTTTTTTTTTTTTTACAGTGTATAGCAGCACTACTCACATTTTTTTTTATCGAATTGGGTCCAGTGCTCATTACTTTCACTCTAAAACACTGAGAGGAATAAATTAGCATTTTTACATACATTATCTTCATATATATACACACACTATTCAAAAGTTTATACACAATAATTAAAAATAAATTTCAAAGAAACGCTGCTTATCAAAGAATCCTGTAAAAATGTGCTTACAAAAAGCAGCACCACTGTTTTTTAACTGAGATAATAATAATAAATGTTTATTTAACACAAAATCAGCATATTAGAATGATTTCTGATGACTGGAGTATTGATGCTGAAAATTCAGCTTGTCATCGCAGGAATAAATTACATTTTAAAATATATTCAAATAGAAAACATTTTTAAATAACATTTAACAATATTACTGTTTTTACCAATTTTTCATCAAATAAGTTCCATCTTGTTGTGCATAAGAGACTTCTTTTAAAAACTTTAAGAAATCTTTCTGACCCCAAATTGGTAAATATATACATATACATTTATCATAAAGTATATAGCTTACATTACAGACATTTAGGTGGGAATTTTGTTGCACAGACAGATATCAGATATAGCATTGTGTCCTGCACATTATGTAACAAGAATATACAAAAACTTTAAAATTCCAGTGTTATAGGATCTCTCAAATTAAAATTTTGATACCAATTAGATGGGCTCAAAATTGTGTTGCCTTTATTTCTGTTCACTTAGGCACTTTAGTAATTAAATAATTTTTATTATGATATTTGATATACTCAGATATACAAATTTACCTTGAATAGTCAAAAGTCTTGAGAAATTGTATGTAGAGCCTTCAATGTCCTTCCATAGAATAATGCGTTTTATTATTAATGATTATCCGATTCATATGCTGGGTTGATCTTCCCCTCATCCATACTCTCTTTAATTACACCAAGAAAGCCTTCATCCCTTAGACTTCTGTCGAAATGTCCAGTTTCTCCACTCGTAGGCATCTTGGTTTTGGGATACCTGTAGCACAATAATAGTAGTCCACTTACAATGAGTAGGCAAGCTGAGCTGATCCCAAACCCAATCCCTGGACCCACTTCCTGTTTTACTGGAGCAGAAGGCAAGTAGAAGTCCGGTGGGAAGTCTATAGTGAGATTCGCCAGCACAGAACTCATATTCCAAATGACAGGGACCAGAGTACACACTGCAGTTAGCCAGTACAAGGAACCCGCCATCACAAAGGCCAATCTGACATGCCCGCCATCAACCCCAAGAATTGCGTTTCTCACCGCATATCCTGCCACCAGGTTTGCGACTACCCCCACACCAATAGCGGTCATGCAAAGTACCTGAGCGGCTGCAATCTCTGGAGGAGTGAAGGAATCTGTAAGGCTGATGCTTTTGCAGACCTCAGCCGAGTCCAAAATGTGGCTGTTAAAGCAGGCCCTCCACACGCCCACCCAGGCCATTCCTCCAGTGATGACCGTCTGATTGTCCACGTACCATATCCTCCAGTCGTTCACCCCAGAGATAGAGGCCATCATTATCCATCCTACAAACCCAAGCACCAGACCCACAAACTGCCAATGGACTGACTGGGCTAGGTAAGCCATTGCTAAAACTGCTGAGACCCGACACCAGGCGGTTATGAATATTTCCTCCTCAGGTTTGCCAACTGTTCTTCAGGGCCATGGCTATATTGCAATCACACTTCTGTCAGATTAAAGAAAGTTAAAAGTGATTTTAACCTACAAAGTCATTGATGGGGAGAACTGAAAGACAAGAATAACACATTTGTCCAATGATGCCAGGGAGGGACCCAAAATATGAGGATTTTATGATGATTCCATTTTGAAGGACCCCTTCCTAAAATATGAAGTCAGCTAATAGCCTACACTACCATTTCAAATTTTGGGGTCAGTTTTTTTTTTTTTTTAAGAAATTGTATTATTCAGCAATTAGACTGCATGGTCAAAAGTAACAGTAAAGACATTCATACTGTTACAAAAAAATTCTATCAGAAAAAGAATTATCATGGTGTCCACAAAAACATTAAGCAACACAACCGTTTTCAGCCATTTGCTAATAAGAAATGTTTAAAATCAACATATGATTTCTAAAGGATCATAGACACTGAAGACTGGAGTAATTGAGTAAGTATAAGAGACATCTTTCAAAACATTAAATTACCAACCCCAAACTTCTGAACGGTAGTGCATTCTTTCATGTATAAATATGCATTGATACTGCACGTGTGAGAAAAGTAAGCATGATATTATGTAGAAAATGTGTTAATTAAAAAAAAAAAAAGTAAAACTAAAAGGCAACAAAGAAATTAGTAAAATATTATTTGGGAAAATATTTAATGTGTTTCAAGAAAAGTAATATAATAATAATAATATAATAATACGTCTATAATTCTTTTTCGGCTGTCAATGGAACATTTACAATTGATTTCATAATTTATTCCCAGTCATTAGAAAGTAGACATAAATGCTAATCATTTTTAAAATAAATGTCTTATTCTTTACTGAAATTTTCCGTGGACCCCCAACACCCTATTGGGAACCTTTTAATGAGCTTTTGTTCTTTTAACGATATGACAGTAGAGAGAAGACAGGAAAACACATGGAGATTGCAGGGGCAAAGGGGTTGGGACATGACGCAGGCTTTAGATTGAAGTGTTTGGAATATACAAAGTGCTTCCTTTGGAAACAAACAACCATTTTAGATGGAGGAAAATGTTTTTCACATCTAGTGTTTAAAAAAATTGTGGTGAAGAGTGATGTTTCCAGAGGGAGGAAAAAGGACACTGCATTGAGGGTCAAGCAAAAGACTATGCATTTGAGACCAAGCAGAGGAGGAAAAGGAGGATGAGAGAGAGAGAGAGAGAGAGAGAGAGAGAGAGAGAGAGAGAGAGAGAGAGAGAGAGAGAGAGAGAGAGAGAGAGAGAGAGAGAGAGAGAGAGAGAGAGAGAGAGAGAGAGAGAGAGACTAATATTTCCTGCACACCTGGGGTTGCGGAATGTTCCGGGATAAGCTGAAAGGTCATTTACAATAATCTGTTTCTTCACGCACAGGAATCAGAGATGGGAACAATTATTAGAGCTTTGGGGAAGTGATTTCCTTAACACTTTGCCAACAACCCCCCAATAACTCCATGTTACTGCTTAATATATTTCATAGCCAAATACTTATGTTATCATATTATGTTGCTAAGTCTATTCATGTGTATTTTTGTTTACACTTTATTTTAAGGTCTTAGTTACAATGTTATTATTCATTTTAGTACTGAGTATCAATGAACAACAAATTTAGGTATATAATTAGGGTTAGGGTTTAGTTTATGGTTAGTATTGTAGTTTATGGCTGCATTTAAGTAGGCCTACTATGCATAATTTAGCTGTTATTACTATGGTAAGCTAAGTACATGTAAAATGACATTGAAAAAATAAAGTGTGACTTTTTCACAATTTCCAAGGGGAACTCCAGCTCTTGTTATCCACAATTGTAACTTTTCAGTCAAGGTTGTGAAAAATTTACTGAGCATGTTCATACATCATTCGTAATGACAACATGTAGCCTACTCACTATCACACAGAGCACAACAAACTCATCCTTACCTGTGAAACGTTTTGAGCTCCTTCGAAACTGTCAATCAGTCCATCCAAAACACAGGATGTCTCATACGAAACTAGCGGAAAAGACAACTTTCCAAAATGACGCGTATGCTACAAGTCAAACACAACTGTGGTTAATGATTAATGTTGCATATCCAATAAATGGATGACGAGTGGGAGGGGAGGATCAGTGCAAAACAATAAAGTTACTGCGTGTACTGGATCGCTGCGGCTGATCACGTTCCTGATAACACATTTTCCCTTTGGCATTAACAGAATGGTCAGTTCAACTTGACCTATAGGCGAATTGTTTTTGGGAATAATTGTTGAGAGCGTCTCTGTGCCAGTGTGTGCATGCACATGAATCATGATAATGTAACGTGTTATTTGCATATTTTTTTTATCTGTAAACACAAGCAGACTGTTACATTTGCATAAAGCACTCTTTCCATCAAACATCCTGCTGGTATGCAAGAAGGGATCGCATACTTAAACAAGTTAAAACTCTTCCATAGAGTTTTGTCAGGATTATGTTTCAATATCATATTTTAAATTATCAATAATATTAAAAAGGATACTCTATATTCTATAGCTCAAATCATGCTGAGTAGGCTGCTCCAGCTAATGCGCATGCGTATTCCAGAGTAAACAATCAAAACAACGATTGTTTCTTTTTTCATTAGGCTATTTTCAGATTTTAAAATAGGTTTTTGATTTCGAGTAGACATTGAATAAATATTTCAGCAGAAATACACACATATTCCATAGTATTATTTACACAGCTGTGCGTACCATTATTTTGTTCTACCCGCTATCGCGTTTTACAGACGTCAAAGTCTCTTTCCTGATTGGCCAAGACACTGAGACAATATCTGAAGTTAAATATTACTGAAAACGAAGGTGATCAGAGGCAGAGCTATTCAGATAAAAAAAAGAATGATTGCTTCAGGAAAAAAAAAAAAAACAACAACATTGAATTACGTAGGCTAATATTAAATTGCATAATTACTGATACAAAATGTTCTAGGAAGGCCTCTAAAATTTAACTAAAATGTAATTCCTTTGATCTCATTATGCAAAAAAGAAATTAATGTTTAGCACCTAAAAAGAATAATAGGACACTTTTGACAAATACGTTAAAACGGCACATTTAGGCCTACATGAGATGCAGATCCTGCAGTGGCCAACATGATGACATGACCAGTCGAATATACTACTTTATCTCTAAACCTTCCCATTTATCAGACACTTTTGTTTGTAAAAAAAAAAAAAGAAGAAAAAATAAATCTTCTGTGACATATACAGATGCTATTTCTACAGTGTATCGGAAAACTAAGAACATTGTATCAAACTGCATTCATGCCAACAATTGTCAGTATAAAGCAATAGTGGCCATCCAGAAATGAGGCATGACAGACAACGTTCAATGAATGCCTTAATTTCACTGTCAAAGCATGCTGTTATATGTAAATGAAATGTTTGTGATTTATATGTAGCTTACAAAAAAAATCTTCAGAATGCTTTTGATGCTTTTTGCTACATAATGATGTGGTTTCAACATCTACCAGCAGGTGAAAACTAAATGATCACAGCCAAATCACATATTTGTGGAATGTGAGCCAATTATATTTTGGCTATACTTTCAACTCAATGATCTTGTAATATATGCTTTGTCTTTTCTACACACTGTGTCTTTTATGAAAAATTTGTGCCACTTAAATGTAATAATTAAGAGCAGTGTTAAATGCAATACACTCAAGAGATTGCTTTTCATTAGCTATAAGGCCACAATGCTAAATTTCTGTGTAAATGTACACAGACTAGAACATGATGCTTTTTTTCATTTAGCTCCTTTCAAAACCTTACAGATGAAGTTATAAATGACTCAGACACATGACTTGAAGCAAAAGGCAGCTGGTATTTTATAGACAAGCACTGAATCCTTAGTGAAATGATATTATATAGTTTAAGCAAGTCTCTTAGATTCTTTAAACAATAGAATACTTACAGTCAATCCTAATTCTGGTGTTACGATGCATTTTATGGTGATATACAGCTATAAAAAGCGTGCAGACTAAAAGTGGTAGTTTGCTTGGCTAAAATAAAGTGAAAGAGTACAATACTAGCCTATTCTAGTTATATACAAAGATTCAAAAGGCTAAAATAAATTACTACAAATATCACTGAATTATTTTTTAACATAATCAGGATAGTGACATGTCATTTGAAATAATGAACCCCCAAAAAGTCCGTTTTGGAAGTTAATTACAGCCTCTCGATGAAAATAGCAACACAGCTTACATGTGCAACGCTTGGGTGATGAATGAATTTATGCCAGGATTTGAGTGTATGTTTGAATCACAAGTGTTTATATTGGGCTTCAGGCACATACACTTTAAGGTGTCTTTCATCACCCTCTAGTGGTTAAAAAGATACAGCACACTGAGTGACCATGGCATGTTTTTACAGAGTGTCAAGTGTTGAGAACACATAGGAGCAAAAAAGGGGCAAGGTCTATTTAAACAGTTGTGGGTGGAAAATTAAAGTGTCTTTAAAAAATATTATTATTATTTCACCATATAATTCTATGGGTCGTATAACATTGAAAGGTCATGAAAGCATAAGATCAGCTGTCACTAAAAATGGTAACAACCGCAGTGTGCTCTGTAAAATCAGGTTGGGTCAAATCATGATCTGAAAGTGCCCAGCACTTTCAGGGTCTTCATGAGTCTTGCCAAAATGCTCTCTGCTGGGTCAGACAAAGAGCACTCAATATATGACCAGAATGCTATTCTATTGGCAGTAAATGGACATTAAGTACTGGCACCCTGTTATTTAGGGTGACGTCAAGCGAGTTGCTCTGGATTACTGCATGAATCACTCCATCAAGTCCTCAGTTGGTTGTCCTGTGGTCCATTGGGAGACTGTCCATCAGACCGTTGAGCTGCTCCTCCCCCAGTTTAATCTTGTCCTCGAGCTTGCGTTGCTCAATAATAAGGGCAGATTTCATTTTCACAAAGTGCTCATAATCAGCCATACTCTCCTCTGGTAGGTAGCTGGCCAAGATGTCGTAGACCACACGCTCTCTCCTGTCAAGGTTCTCCTTCAGCTCCTTGGCATCCTCATGTTGACGGATCAGCAGTTTGCGTTTCTCTGTCAGAGTACGCTGCAAAAGGAAGATGAACATTTTAACATTTTCACGTTATACACGCGCTTGCTCACTCACACACGTTTACTTAGCTAATCTAAATGGGGACATTCCATAGACGTAATGGTTTTTATACTGTACAAACTGTATATTCTATGTATATTCTATGCCCCAACACTAACACTTCCCCTAAACCTACCCATCACAGAAAAGTTTCTGCATTTTTAAAAAAAAACTTTAATTACTTTATACCAGTTTTACAAAAAAGCACATCCCTAAAGGGAGGTTTTTGGAGATTTTGGTCGCTTCTGGGTACAAATTTGTCCCCAAAATATAGTTAAGTAGACACACACACACTTATTATTTTTTTTACAAATTAACAACAATTAAGCACCAAATCTGCATAATAGAATTAGAATGATCTCTGAAGGATCATGTGACATGGAAGACTGGAGTAATAATGGCGGATGAATATTCAGCTTTACTTTCACAGGAATAAATTACATTTTAAAATGGAAAAAAGTTTTTTTAAATTGTAAAATTTACTACACTGTCAAAAAGTGTCCCAATCAACCAAGTTGAAGATAACAATTGTAATCATTTGTTTCTCTAAAGGCCTTTATGCAAATAAAACAAAGCTATATGAAAGTAAGTGGAATTTTATTATCTGGATTAGTCCAATTAAACCTGTATAAATGGTATGGTACTATAAAAGAACTGTAATGTATCCCATGGCACTCGGTTATAACCATTTTCCAAAGTATCAATTCAATATAAGGATACTTATAGGAAATAGAAAAGGTTAGGGGGGAAAAAAACAGGATCTGGAAGTGACATGAGCTGGACACAAAGCTGTGTCACCTGTATCAGCCTAATGTGGTACTTTAATGTTAGCAGTTTTACAGCCTTAATTCTGTTCTCTTAATCAAACTATTTTCTTGTGCTTTTTGAAATGTACAAATCTGGAAGTCATATCTCCACAACATGAATCCTGCTTTCCCAAATCCCTCATTTTCATTCTCACCCTCTCGTCCTGTGAAGCATCTTCCTCCAGGCTGTTCAGGGCATTCTCTACTCTGGCCAGACGTCCAGACAGAGACAGCAGAAGGTTGACCACTTTATCAAGATCACCGACGAACATGCGGAACTTGTCGAGTTCATTGGGCTTGCAGACACCTTGTACGATGGCCTCCACATCTTCCCCAAGAGCGTTGTTGTCCTGCACGTCCTCCTGTAGACTCTCCTGAGCTTCCCTCAGCACCTGCAACTTTTTGCTGAGGCTGTCAATCAACTCATGCTGCAAAGAGAGGAAAGACGTTTGATCAAATAAATTGGTAAGTAGCGCGTTTCTGTATTTGGTTGGGTTGTGAGTATCTGCAGCACATGTCTTATCAAACTGATGAAGATGTTTTTTTAATTTGATGGTGTTTTTATCTAATGCATGTGTTTTCTTCTGTTGCAGTGCATGGAGCTCTCGTCACCGTATAAAAACTAAAAAGTACATTTAACAGTACTAGGACTAAATTTAAAAATAGCTGACAAAATTAACACTAATGGTAAGAAAGCATCTGTTTGTACAATACAATTTGTTTGTACAGATTGTTGGTACCTTCTTGTTGGCAAGATCACTTTCATTGTCTTCCTCCAACTCCTCTTCTGAGTGGTGTTCCTCACTCTGTTCCTGCATGTCCTTCATCTTAATCAGCAGCTCTGCTTTGGGTGCAGATGTACTGTAGTAGGTTGAATTAGTCCCTAAAGCAGTAGCCACTACCAGGCTGTCGTCTTCTTTCCTGAGAACCCACAGATGAGTTTTATGAGAAACACAAGCCAACTGATCAAAACACTACAGAATTACTTATGACAGGATAAAACAATTGTGTGGGGCGGAAGATGCTGAACTATCTGTTTGTCCAACCAATGGCAGACAGAGGAGTGTTAAAGAATC